TAATTTCTCGACAACTTTCTTAAGTATATTGACCAAACTGGGGCTTAGGATTCTAACGAGGGCCTAACAGGTGAAGAGGAAAGGTAATTTCCAGGCATTTGAATGTAATTTTTATGATTGAGGTGCAATTCACATAACAAAATGTATCATTTTAAAGTGAACAATTACGGCATTTAGTGCATTCATAATGTTGTATTACCACCACCTATATCTAGTTCCAAAACATTTTCATCACTCCGAAATGAAACGCTGTACTTGGTAAAGAGTCACTCTCAATTTTCTCCTCCAGCCCTTGGCAACCACCAATCTTTGTAGACTCACCAATTCTGGATATTACATATAATCATGTGACATTTTGCATCTGGCGGCTTTTAGTTAGCACACTGTTTTTGAGGGTCCTCCACATTGTAGCATCTATCAGTACTTCATTCCTTTTTATGTCTGAGTAGTATTCCAATGTAGGTGTATGCCACAATTTATCTGTTCATCTGTTATACGTTGCAGTTATTTCCACTTTTGGACTACTGTAAATAATGTTTCCATGAACATTCACTGCAAGTTTTTTGTTCTGGGTCTCTCTTTTCAATTCTTCGGGGTATACGTCTAGGAGTGGAATTGCTGGGTCATATGATAATTCTGTTTAACTTTTTGAGGAACTGCCAAACTGCCTCATTGGCTGCACCATTTTACATTCCCACCAGTGATGTATGAGTGTTCCAATTTCTCTACATCCTGGCCAACACTTGTTATTTTGCTTTTTTAAAGAAAAATAGTAAAGCCATCCTCATGGATGTGAAGCGGTATCTCATTGGGGTTTTGACTTGTAATTCCTTAATGACTAATGATATTGAGCATCTTTTCATGTGTGTGTTGGCAATTTGTATACTTTGGAGAAATGTCCAAGTTCATTGCTCAGTTTTTAATGGTTTTTTTGTTGTTGAGAGTCTTATGAGTTCCGCATATACTCTGCATATTAGACCCTTAACAGATAATATGATTTGCAAATATTTTCTCCCATCCTGTAAGTTTTCTTTTCACTTTCTTGATAATGTCCTCATATTTTTTAACTTAGTTTTTTTTTAGGAATATGTATATTTGGAAAAAACTAAACAGTACAAACGGGTGAGTTTGTGTATCCTTTTAGTGACAATCTGTGCATATACACACAAATGTAAATGTCTTTTCTCTCCTCCCTCTCCCTTTTTTATATAAATGGTGCTTTTTTTCCACTGAATGTGTCTTGGCAATAGTTGTATTTCACTATATGTATATCTACCTCAGTTTAACAGGTGTGAAGTATTCCATTGTATAGATACAGCATAGTTTATTTAACCAATACCCTCTTGTGGACATTCAGGTTGCTTGAAACTGCTGACTGTTAAGATATATACAAGTTAGTATAGATACATACAAGTTAGTATATCTCCAGGATAGATACTGAAAAGTGGAAACTTATTAAGTATGGTTTTCTTCATATTTGGAGGTTGTTTCCTAAGCAGTATTAATCTGCTAAATTAATAAAAATGTCATGTTGGTTAGTATTTTTTATGTCATAGTCTCTCTCTTCATATATATATTATATGAAAAAAAATAGAAGTAGCAGAACCAGCCTTACACAAAGTTACAGAAAAGAAAGCTGGCCCTTCCTTTTCTCAACCCTCTTATACTGTTTTCCCTTCAAATCTCCCTGAGAAACAGTTGTTCTCAGCTAGGGAACAATTTTTCAGTAGGCCTTACTTTCTAGTGTTAAATTTTAACCCTCCTCTGGTTGTAGAAAGAAAAGCGTAACATGATTTTTAGAGCAGAAACTTCTGAGCTAACAAATCCTCAATTTTTAAAGTGCAAAAAAAAGACCCTGAGGACTGCCCTGCCTTTTCTGCAGTTCACCTCAGTGCTAAGAGAACCCAAGTCTCCAGTTTCCCACAACAGGGAAATAATACTCACTGTAATGTCTCACCTCATTCTTGTGAAAGAACTTGAAAATGCTACTTCTGTCTTGGTAGAGGTTCTGGGGAGCAGTAAAATTACGACTTTCTCTGACACTAAAATAAATCACACGTCTGTTTCACCAACTATATCTAGGACCTCTAACCAATACTGGTACATGAAAAAGTGATTTTTAAAAGTATCTTAAATTGTTGGAATTCCCCGGCGGTCCAGTGGTTTAAGACTGCACTTTCATTGCCGAGGGCGAGGGTTCGATTCCTGGTCAGGGAACTAAGATCCCACAAGCCGAGTGGTGCAGCCAAAACAATAAAAAAATAGAGTGCTTGAATTTTTTTAAAGGTAAACTGTTATTTTTGTTTCTTGATTTCAAAAATGACTGAAAATGCTTCTATCAACCACTATAAAAGTATAGAGATTAAACAGAAATGATGTTGGAAGTGAATCTTTTATATAAGTTCATAACAATTTTGTTACTGAGAATATGCTTTACATTTTGATATCCCTGAGAACAGGCAATTTAATAAGGTAACTGATCTGTAAAGGAATCTGTATTTTTCATGAGTATATGTTTATTGAACTCCCTTTATGAAGAGGTCACTGTTAACACTTGAAATATAAATATGAGGTATGGTCCTTGTCTTACTGGAGCATAAACTATTTGGTAAGATGAAACATTTCAGACAATGTTACTCTGCCCTCAGTTTTCAATCTAGTGTTCAGTTCGCTTAGATAAAGTATTTTGATTGATTATAATTCTGATCCTTTAGTATAAAAGAAAAAATGTACCGCTAGAAACTATCTGAAGATGGTACCATGGATTCAGATGGTTCTATCATGAACTAAAGCAAGATACCCTTAAGAGGTAACTACTTAGAAGACAACAGCGTACTTTGTAGTTTTAGTTCTAAGAATCTGATGTATATTTTAACTTAGCATCTTGGACATGGCATTTGATTTTAACTGGGAAGAAAGTTACTGATACCCACTGGCTAAGTTAACTGCATAACAGTTTGAAGAAACTGAGCAATGTGAGGATCAAGGCTTAGTACAGTAGGTCCAGAGACTAGATTTCTATCCTTAACTTGAAGACAAAACAAGCACACTTAAAATGCACGTTTATGGGATAAATTAATCCTTTTCTCCTAAGTAAAAAATGTCACAACTTCGATGACATCTATAGTGGACAATGCGCTACAATATCCAGATATAGTGTCACGTCCCCATCCCCACACACACATCCCTGAAGCACTCATTTCCCAGCTTCTGGGAATGTTCGTGGCTGATGGCTCTCAGCTGAGTCTCTCAGGTGTTGTCTTCACCCCAAGGTTCAGCTCCTTGCATCCAATGACTGACGTCACAAGGATGTAAGTCCCACCCCCCTGCCTCAATTCCCAGCTTCCGGCCACCTCAGCTCTGAATTCCGCTGAGGACTTTCCTGACTGCATCCCAACCCAATTTCTTCCTCTTTCCCAGTCCTGCTACTTTTACTCCATCAGAGGTGTTGCTCTCGAAAGCATTCTCGTTTAAACGTTCTGCACCTTAACCTTCCCCTCTGAGTCTACTTCCCTAGGGAACTGGACCTGTGGCCACATTTTGAACTCAAAGCCAGAAAAAATCATTTGATTTTCACTTAGACAACCAAGCTATTCCTGCT